AGTAGCTTAGCAGTTGCTATATGATAGCACGGCGTTGCTAGTTCATTTTCAAAATAAATAAACAAAAAATACCAGTGGGCCAAGCACAAGCCTGTTCAGCCACGCCTTACAGAACCAATCAATAGTATAACAGTCATTATGACTTTTCCCCACACTCGAACACAACTCCTACTGTCTCGTACTCCCTCCACACACACCGGAAAACGCACACACACACCTGGAACCGGCGGTCTCTCCCTAACCCCCACCAACAACATTGCCTAAATAACTTTACAAATGTACTAAACTGTGCACATCTGATAACTGACATAACTATTAACTTGGACACGCTACAATAATATCATTAATATTTACCTTAAAACATTCCTTTGACACTTATAACATTACTTTGCAAGGTAAGCACAACCAAAATAAGTTTGTAAAAGCAGAATTTGAACACTGTTTCATTGCTCCTACAATATTTTTGTAATACAATTACACCCTAAGCGTACAAGTACACAATAGCGATCGTTCACTGTTTCAACTGGCATGCTGTGGCATTTAAACTCACTCACTCACTCACTCACTCACTCACTCACTCACTCACTCACTCACTCACTCACTCACTCACTCACTCACTCACTCACTCACTNAAACAGATATTGTATTGTAATATTTACATGGTTAAACAATGAAAAGTTGTGCCTTTAACCAAATCTGTATAAACATGTTGCTATAGAGTGCCACAGTGACGCGTCCTAAAACCCGGAAGTAAATTCCTTCCGGTTCCTTCGACAAAAACCAATGCAATTTCTCCATAGATCATAAATCTATCGATTAGATTTATGATTCGAAAATTATAAAAGTAGGGTAGACATGTGATATTATCCGGCTAAACAAAACGTGATCCGTCTCTTAAATGTGTGTCAACCACAGACCTTATTTCCAGCTATTTTACAAAATCCTATGGAGAAATTGCATTGGTTTTTGTCGAAGGAACCCATGCGCAGCTTACTTCCGCGTTTTAGGACGCGTCACTGTGGCACTTGACAGATATATTATATATTATCGTTTCATAAAATAACAAGCTAACATATAATTCCAAAATTAACAACAGAGAGAAAATCCAGCACCCTGTTAAAAAGGAAATTGTTAAAACATTTGTAACGTAGTTTAGCTGTAACAGAACAAGGAATGGAACAAGTCTTGCTGGCTGCCTTGGAGTTGTGGAGCACATCAAATAACCACATCAAAGAACCTTAAGGTGGAACCCAGACAAGGTAGGGAACCACATCTCTCAGCACATCTCTACAGTATATTGTGTACTGAAGCAATTTGTTTTGCAGTCCATGAGCCCGAGCAGAGCAGGTGCCTCCACCAATGTCCATGATTACCTTCTGAATGACCTCAAAGGTATATTTCAGTCCCTTAGGATAATCAATGTTGAGGCTGTAAAGTATGCCCATTAGCACAGCAAAGCCGGTTGGTACATCTCGCAGCTTGCGCAAAACAATGCGCCCCTCCAGGATCACAGCAACATCCGCAATATTCTTTGGTAGGGCTGCCGGCTCCCGTTCTTCTGTGACGATTGGTACGCCAACATCCACTCCGTTTACAGCTGCCGCCTCCTCTGAGTCAGTGGCCTGAATTATATCAGAAAACATTGAATAACTAATCAACAACTTTATTAATCCCGCGAGGGGCAATTGGTTGTGAGCAGCTTACAGATGTAGCGCTTCGTTTCGGACGCCTACCCGTGCGGGTCCCTGCTGAAAAGGAAAACCCCCCGCAGGACTTGATACGCCCCCTTGATAAATACATTTAATTATAATGAAACCAGCTGCAATGAATCATGAATCCACCAGGGGGAGCCGTGATTGAAAGCTGCCACACTGGAACTCATGTGAAATAAACAGCTGATAGATCGCAGGTATCTGATACAGTGGATATTTGTTAAGATATGTCACGGATAGGATCATATTCTGTGCTAAATAAGAGACATGTAATCATTTACTAAACATCACCATGTTTTTATTTAACAAAATAATGTTGTTTAATTCACGTTGGTGTAAGTACAAAACCATCGCTATGTTTTTAGATCAGGAAATGCAGCCCGGCTCAAACAAACGATTTTCAATCATCATCCTCACGATCATTTAATGTATCATATGTTCGCGAGTTGAAATGCATGCACTAGCCTACATTTAATTTAATTTTAACGAAATAAATGTGGTTTAATCCACATAATTTACTGTGATAATTGTTTACTGTTGTGCACATTACTTTTCGCTGCGTGATGCACCCCTGGTTAGAAGCTAAACTGCATTTCGTTGTCTCATTTCGTTCGTTGCAATAACAATAAAGTTGAATCTAATCTTGAGCAGGAACAAATATATTTAGTACATATCTGATATTAACGATTAAACACATTTGTGCATTCTTTAAACCGAGTCAAGCCGACTCCGGAGGTGGCGGCACATTAACGTGTGCACCTTGTTTAACTTGAAGGTGCCTGATGACATGTAATCATTCAAACAAAATCATATTTTGTTTCTTTTTAACAAAATAAATGTGGTTTAATCCACATAATTTACTGTGATAATTGTTTACTGTTGTGCACATTACTTTTCGCTGCGTGATGCACCCCTGGTTAGAAGCTAAACTGCATTTCGTTGTCTCATTTCGTCCGTTGCAATAACAATAAAGTTGAATCTAATCTTGATCAGGAAAAATGTATTTACTTAGTACATATCTGACATTAACGATTAAACACATGTGTGCATTCTTTAAACCGAGTCAAGCCGACTCCGGAGGTGGCGGCACATTAAGGCCCCGGCCCCACGAGGAGGAAAACAGTCGTTTGCGTTACTGTTTAGTGTCATATAGACCGTTCTGCCACACTAGGACGACCGAATATGACAGTAAACAACTGCGGAAACGATAACGGGTCCCAAGGTGGATAGAACGGCATACGCAACGCTCTGGGGGGTCCAACGGCTCCGTGTGTGCGCCCTATACGATCATCTTCTGATAATGATGACGCAATAGCCCCGCCTCTCCCCACCTCTGCTACTCACCCCCGCGTCAAAGTAAACTGCACACTGAATTCAGATTATTTATCTTTCTCTCGATATGGACATAAACGCGAGTGAAGTCTAATCTGACAGGACGGAGACACGCAGCTCTGCTCACCTGCAGCTCCTCCCGCTGTGATGCAGCGGGGAACGGAGTAAAACACAATTTATTATATTATATAGAGTCGTTATTCATTTGTGTTAAAGCTCAATAAATAACAAAGAACACCTTTGACCGGCACTTTTATAATTTTGTCCGGAAGATTTAACCTTTAATACACGTTGACTGGCGAAAAACTCTGCCCGGTTCCCTCTGCCCCCACCGCGGAGAATAAACAGAAGGGCAACCATGACAACCATGCTTCTTCGCTGCTTTTGTGGAGGAAGTTACAGCGCCACGTACAGGCTCCTGCATATGTACTGCAGCTTCTCCAGCGGTTGGAGCTAAACGGAGCTGTCTCGTGTGGACTTGTTTGAGACGCGTTGCGGCTCACCTCGAAAGTAGACGAGAATAGCCGATCGCAGCCGGGGGAGGTTTTGCGGATTGCAAACAACTTTAAGGTGCATGCCGCAACCTCCGGAGTCGGCTTGACTCGGTTTGCATAAATAGAATGCACACGTGTTTAATCGTTAATGTCAGATATGTACTAAGTAAATACATTTGTTCCTGCTCAAGATTAGATTCAACTTTATTGTTATTGCACATATTACAGATACTGAGACAACGAAATGCAGTTCAGCTTCTAACCAGGAGTGCAACAAGCAGTAAAGTGAAAAGTAATGTACACAATCTACAGAATAAAAGATAGAATGAATTGAATGATGAACAAACAGTGAGGGGTATGAATACACTAGATATACACAGCACAGCAGCCTGTGAGCAGTATGAACAGTGCATGAATATGCAAAGATATATAAAGTATGAAAACGGGAAGCAGTGCAAGTA